GATACAAACTTACAATAGACCAACTACATGAACTTTTCATACCTCAACACAAGCAAACAATAGCCCAAACAAATGTATTTTTATCATACAATTGAAAATAAAACTTATGTTACTTGCATTTTAATACCGTCGTATTATTTCAACAATCCAGTCTCATTTATTCCTCAGACTACCGTAAACCACTGTATTCTGAATAACGTAGATGTAAAAAAAATTGTAATTTGTGGGAATCAAAAGAAAGTTTGTGGTTAAAAAAATATTTATTTTTTCTTCACAATAATTGACTACTGAACATGACAAGAATTATCGCAATCTACAGCAAAAATTTCATGAGGTATAGAAAAAGACAATCGACGTAAAGTTGCATAAAATACACATAGTAGAATTTTCAGAATCAAAGGCGATATGTTATTTTATACCAGACTTTCTGCAGCACCTTAATTAAAAAAAATTTTTACAATTTTATCAACAATAAATATTGAATGTCAATACTTTTTTCTTCAGCTTTGCATTCAAAGTTTTTGACATAGTATAAGTATAAAATAAAGTATGTATATAGTAAAAAAATATAAGTTTTTTATATGTAGTTTATTTCAACTGTAACTTTTTGACACATGTGAAAAAACATTACTTTTCTGGGCAATTCTTTAGAGATGCATTATTAGTTTAAATACAGAGACAATTTGGTCTCTGAGGTAATAAGATATCACCCCCTGTGACTTTTTTATGGCCACAATTGAAAAAAAAAAAACAACTCCTGTTGCTTATTTGGTGATCTACAATGAATTATTAACACAATTGAAGACATTACGAGATCTAAACCAAATTTAACATATGGAGAAAAGTGGATTGCTTAATTAGATTCACAGGCTAGTAATTGCGAGTAGTTCTACTACTCAAAATTAATAGAAGACATACGCGAAAACTTCTCAAGGCCCTCCCTGAATCACAATTCTGTTGCTCATGTGATATTATTTCGTTTTCTTTGGGAGTTCTTTTTAATAGGATTCTGAGTTTTGATTTTCTATTTTCTGATGTCTGAAATTTAGAAATTTTTGATTTCTGAAAAGAGTTGGGAGTTGAAAGCACTGAAAGTATGAAACTGGGAGTTTCATAGAAAATTGAAAAAATTAAAAACTTCGAATTTAAACCAAATGCTCTCCAAGGGGCCAAAGAGACTCAGAAAAGTGCAAAAACGCTGTAAAAAATGTGTACAAAATGTTGTAGGACTTGTAGGGTCGAGTTAAATAAAAATCGTTTGGGTTTTCGTAGATTGTAACGTGCAAATGGTCGAGGAACTTTTTGTCGCAAGAATGCTGTAAATATGGTATTCTAAACGTGAAATTACACGCTGAATACGTTGGAACAGGTTAAAAATCTTCTACGATGAGTAGTTTTTGAGATATCGAGTAATAAAATCAAGAATAGGGCTATAAGCATAGTCATTTTTAAACGCCGATTAATTTACTTTAAGTCGTAAAAACGCTTGAAATGCGGTTTTCTAGACGTAAAATTACTCGCTGAACACGATTCAACTAGTTAGAATACTCTACGATGCATAGTTTATGAGATATTGAGTCATAAAATTAAGAATAGTGGTATAATGACAGGTTTCTAGAACATTTTTTATCGAGCCGATAACTATCGGTCCCATAAGTTTATCGAAGTTGTCTAATATAGTCACTGCAGTTGTGCTATCTTGATACAGAAATTTGTGAAGTGTTTCATAAACCTTAAGCTTTTGGCTGAGAGATGGCGCTCCATCCTACAATGTCCTCAAATTGCTATAGCAATTAACTTTCTGTTGTATTTTGTATCCCTGCGTGTTATCAAAAAACATAAAAAATGAGTTTGACGGTCCGTAATAGCCATAATTGAGTGGCACTCAACTTGCAAACTTTTTAATGTTTGCTATTAAATGTTTCCTTCCACTCGATTTGAATGTTTACATGTTTAGCATATTTTTCACTGCTGAATCGTACAATTTATTGCAGACAGTTAATTCGAGTTATGAAATGTACAACTAACCACAGGTCCACCTGGACGAAGAACAAAACTAGCCAAAAATTCTTTAGAATCCTGCATTATTTTTAGCGTTGAAGAATTTTAATTTTATGACAGTCGTTGTGGCGCTACTGGAACATATCCGAAAAATTTATTAGTAAATTTATAAAATACACCTCTGGACCGCCGCTAATTTAATTGCAGTGCGGCGTTAAAGAATAACGGAAAAGTTTTACGAGAGGATTTATGCCTTTTGTTACATCTTGTGAGACCACTATTCACTAAAGTTCGGGTAATAAAATGGACAGCTTTATGAAAAGAATTGTGAAATCGTATTTTTACCTGGAGCTAAGGTAAGTACTTGGTCCACAATGTACTTAGCGAGGACAATGAGGGAAAATGCAGGGTTGTTGGCCTTCCACAAACAAAAAAATTATTTTTCGGTTTACTTCTTTGTGAAATTTTAGTGGGGAAGCGTTACGGATTTCTGTAAGCTTTTGTACAACAAAAAGAGGAGGATATTCTTCGGGGGACACGTGGGACCATTTTTCAACGTATTGGAAATTGCACAAAGAGCTTTCAGCGAAATGACGGATCTTCTCATTCAAATATTAATCACTTTTCACGCCTCTCTAACGCAACACAAATCTGTATACCTACTTAAGTTGGAACATTTGAAACAGGTTATAACTAAATTATTTAATTAATTTGAAGACTGGAAGTTAAATACCATAAAGGTTTCCTTGAAAATTTTGAAATTAGCATTTTATGTGAATTTCTACTACCTTTCGTTCTTCGAACGCCTTATGGGGGGTTTAAGGCAACTTAAGTAGCTGAGATCTAAAGGTGTCCTGAAAGTCACTGATTTTAACAAATCTGTAAACATTTACAGGAATTTAACCGGAAGGTTTCGTCAGCAATTTAAATATGTATATAATTTTTATTTTTGAATTATTCATTTCAGTAGTTGAGCGCTCTTATCGACACTTAGATTTTAACAAGGTTTCATTAAACCCAGATTAGTCACTTACAATTACATTTTCCGGTGTCGAAATTCTAAATATTCATTGTTGTTTACCAGATCTTGTCAAATTAATTGCTATTTTTCCATTTGAGAAATTTTATTTTTAGACCAAACTGGCGACTAACTTTCAGGTAGTATAATTAAGTTACCTCTTTACCTTATACACTTTTGTCGGCAAATTTCTAAAAACATTTTACCTGATATATATTTTTATTATGATTCCTTTTGTGTTAAAATTTACAAGGTTAGACAAGTATAAATGAGTCTGAAACGACATATTATTTAATCGTGACATTTAACACAACCATTACATGTAAAATAAAATCATTTTGTAAAACGATTGATCCAAATTTCACTTGCTAAATATCACTGAAGCACGGTTTTGATTCCTAAATCGAGTCTAATAACGAGTTATTTTTACGTAAGTAATTATTACTATTTTGTCGAATATATCGATGAATCGAAAAAATTCTGGGTCAGTTAAAGGTTTTGGGAAACGCCTTTCTATGGCATTGACTCAGAGCAACAAAGTGGTTTTTTCGATTCAGCAAATACGGTAATACAAATAAGTAATAATTATAATACATAAGAATTTATACTATTTTTCTATTACAGAAAAGTCAAAACGTAGGAGTTATTAACATTAACATAAATGGGGTGAATAAATGTTTAATATATGGTAAAACAGCTCTCTTCTTAATTGACTTTCTTTTAATTTTAATTTCAAATTTCATTGTTTTTCATCTATACTATGTCGTACCTACTAATGCCAAAGACATTCACAAAGTCTTGGCCACAACACATTATTTTGTTAAAAACTTACTTATCTACTAAATACTTACCTATCTAATTTTTTGGCAGGGTAATTTTCTATAAATTCATTTTATTTTATTTCATTTATTTATTTATTTATTTTATTTCATTTCTAATTATCCTTGTTTCTACAGAGAGGTAAAAAAGAATAAAATGAGATTAAATTATATAATGTAGATTCGAGCCCGTTTAATTTCTTCCAGTCTGATGTATTGTAAACTTTATGAGTGGGTTTTTCATCTAATTTTTAATTTTTTAATTTATAATAAAAAACTGAGGAACATACAAAACAAAATGGCATTTCACATTTTTGGATATTTTTCTTTTCAGACGGCTAAAGACACTTCTACTTTAGGTTGAAATGAATTGTTTTTACAAATTTTTAAATAATATTTGTATGAAATGTTGTAGACAGTAGGTAGACACTGTAGGCAGTTAAAATCAATAATTTTTTATTATGATGTTTTAGATAAAAATAAATAATAGAGTTATTATTTTGACAATTTTATTAACGATTCTTTAGCAATAAAAATCATTTTACTGACGGTACAAGCGGTGTATTCGTTCATTTGCCTTGACTGTCTACAGCAATTTGGAACATATTCTACATTTACATCCTACTTCTTCTATTGTTATAAACTCGGTTATAAGTTTATAATAACTTATATCGTAAATAAATTACTGGATTTGAGTCATAGAAAGTTTTTTTATACTATTTATTTCATTATTTTTATAAAATGTGAACTCCATGTAGTGCTTGATGTGTGAATGTTTTTGGCCATGACTCAAGAAACCGAAATTTGCTCTTCAGCAGCAAGAATATCCCTTTTTTCATGATTTGGTCGTCTTGAATGCCTTTCGTTCGGGTTGGCTTCTTTGGTCTATAAGTAAAAACCAAAGTGGATCTTTCCATATCTCGATTAAGCAAAAGATCGTTCCAAAACGAGCAAAAGTGCAAAATTCTCAAAAGCCGGTTACGTCGGTTAGTCGAGCACGTGTTTGCCTTTGTTTGCAACAACCGTCGTCGTCCCACATCGCAGTAGTCTGCGCCACTGGAGGGGGATTTGAACTCCTCGTCCAATCGAATCCCCGAGTTCAAAGTTGGCGGGCCGGCTTCGTGGGCCTCCTGCGCGCCAGTGGGCACATGGTTCACGCCGGGCCCTCGGTTTCAGTCAGTCTCTTGCAAGCGGCGCGTCTGCTTGTTCCACAATAACGGTTAGACCCTAAACTAGAAATTACTATATTTTTGTACGAGTGAATCGTTTTTACTACTTAGCGTCGTTTATATGTCTTATGAACCTTGTTGTTGCGCCTGAAGCCGGTCGACAATCAGTTCTGAAAGCGGAAATGCCGGCGTCGAGCCTCTTCTCCGACATGGACCGCGGCATCGGCGACGAGCGGGCTCTCCAACTAGCCCTCGAGCTCTCCATGCTGGGCTTCAGCGAGCCTTTGAGCGCCGTTTCGGAGCCCGACGCGCCGGGAGACCTCGCGCCCTTCGTGGGCAGCCTCGCCACGGTTGGATTGGACGAAGTGCGCTCCAAGAAGTCGCAGAACATGACCGAGTGCGTGCCGGTGCCCAGTTCAGAACATGTGGCCGAGATCGTAGGCAGACAAGGTAGGATTCAAGGGTTAAATTGATATTGCGGACCGGCTTGTTTTTTACTGATTGATAGACAAGAGGCAAAAACACGAGGATGGACACTGGCTTCGCGAACAGAAATAAACGCCTCTTTTGCATCGGCAGAATGCAACGTGCTTGCTGTAAACATGTTTATATTTCACGTTTGAATTGCAAATTTTTATGATTAACAGCAATATCACCGAGACAACTGCCAAATGGCTTATTTAAACGTTTCGAAGTTTAGGTATATTATTTTGCAAATTGCGGAAAACTGGCTGTTAGACAGTGTTTTTCATATTTTGTTTCAATGAATGTTGCCAACAACTCAATTAATCTTATCAAAATTTAATATTTTTAGTAGGTGTGCTAAACAAATATTTAGTCTTGCTTTAACTATGATAACTGAAATTAAATTTATTGTTAGAACGAATTTTTAAGTACATAGCTGTTGTAATAAATGCAATTTCACTGTTATTTACATATTTAATTTTATGTATTTCAAAAAAATTGTATTCGTTTAGTATTTTTTTTGACTTTTGAAGTGTAGTGTTCTTAAAAAAAATACCTAAACAATCAACATCTATAAGTATAAATGTTGCAAATTGGCCACAACTGCATATTTTGGAAATGTTCCTAAGAAATATTTGTTGTTGAGTTGAAATAATAGAAATTATGTTTGTCTACAAATTGTTGTAGGTAGACGGTTGAGATAAATTTGAATTAATAAGAAGTTAAATAATTAAACAAAATTTTTATTTTATTGTCTATATTCACTGTACAGCAATTTGAAGCATATTTTATTTCTTTAAAGTGGTATTTTTGCTGTTATTACATATATGTATTTGCTAAATATCGTTGATATAGTCAACAATCATTAACCTGAATGAAATGCCTATAGAAAGCACTTTTACATATTTACATCACATTCAAGTAATTACAAGAAATTTGCTTTAGCGAATGAATTGGATTTTATCTTTTTATGCTGGTCAAATTTTCAGGCATTTTCCGAAATCAACACTTAAGTCAAATTGTTGATTTGACATATAAATGGCTTTGACTGTTCACAGCAATCCGAATTTTCGGAAATGTTTTTTTGCTTCGTTGCCAACAAAGTGCTGAGAGCTATTTTCTTCATTTCCATTACATTTTAGATTCCTAGTCGAATTAATTTATTTTTTGTACGTTTGCTTTGATGTAAATATGATTTCGAAGAGAAACCATTTGTGATTTAATTATTCGGGCGATCTGTGTCCTTTTGTCGGGTCTCGATTCTCCGAATCATTGGAAGTTTTCCGTTTGGGTTGCTTCTCTCCCCTTAACCCTTTACCAAAACTTAAACCACTAACGTGGATAACAGGGGGTTGTTCACCCCGCACTCTAAAATTTTCCTGCAACTGTATTCCCACACACCTCGACAATTTCGTGTCATCGTAAGGGTGTAACATTATCTTTTCCACACGGGTGTATTGATCGACATTGGAAACCACCTATACAGGATGTAACGTTTCTTTGTTCGGATAATTTTTGTATTCTGCCAGAGTATAATCTTACATGAGTCAGTCACAGGAAGTTCGGAATTGCTTCAGCACCGTACGTTTACATTGGCTATTGATAATAAAGCTTTTCACAGGTAGAAAATTTGTGAGAAAACTAATCGAGAGTCGGCAGCTGCGACAACCTTTCTGCAGGTAATTTTCTTACCTGCAAACCGGCCTTATCTTTGTGTGAAATTAATAGGGGTATGATAATAAAACGGAAAGCACTAATCCAAATTTAATTTTTCTGGGGCCACCCTTCTGGATTTATGAAATTATTGATTTTTTCGAGGGGCGGCGCAACGAGGGTAAAACTTGTAAATTATTCCGGTGCCGCGTTGCCACTTTTCAAAATTTTAACGGTAAATAAACAACTGATAAGGCGGTCTGTTTACTTTTTTAATCTCGACACCCGAAAGCAATTCCGAGATACATCTAAAAATGTAAAGTTGAATGAATTTTCATTTTAAAGTTGCAACAAATGTTGCGTTGCAACTGAGTTCACGGTCATTCACAATTCCTTTCGTTCCTTTTCGTTTTAATTTGTCGTCACGAAGCTAGTCATTTATCGGCGATGCAATTAAAAATTTTGCATTCGCAGCGTGGTGAGAAAAACCACAAACTCATTTATACGAGGTCATGATCGATTTTACGTATGATCTATTTACGGTATGCGTTTTATTAATGTAATAACGTAATCTACTAGACGAGCTTCCTACTCCAACGGTAAGTTTGTCTGGCGTTCGATAATTGCATCTTGTCTACTAAACGGCAAAAATAACAAGGAAATGAATTTTTTTACACATTTCTAATTTGATTCCAACTTGGGTCAATGTTTCTCAACCTTGTTCTTGCGAGGACACTTGCTAAATGTTATTTATTACATAATTAATGAAATAGACTTGTTTTGGAAAATATACACTAAAACCAGTATATTAAAGGCCAAGCATAGGCTGATAAATAGGTTGATAACACCGATTCTGTCAAGCGCCGGAATTATGTAAGAAAGTTACTGAAGAATACTTCAATAACTATTATCATAACAAGAAGAAAGTTGATAAAACTAAGCTAAAAATAAAGCACTTAAAACGGTACCAGAAAGGTACCAGAAATCAGCCTAAAATAAACTCGGTTCTTATGCAGATTACCCCAATAAAATCCAGCTTTTAAAAAAGGACTAGCAAAACCATATAGTTAAAAAAAATATTTAGTAGTTTATTTACGTATTGAACATACATACAGGGTGAATATAAAGTATGGAACCAAGCGTTTTTTTTTTAATCATTTGCCTCCAGAACATAATTTATATAAATTAAAGTAATATAAAAAATGTTATAGTATTTTGAGTACGAAATTTTATTTTGTTTTTGAATTATGCGATTTTTTTTTGTCAAAATTGCAATTTATGTAAAAAAAAATTTGAAAAAATTAACTATAAAGTAGATAGTTGTAATCCTTAGATCATAACTTTTACGAGAAAAATGGTTTTATAGTGGGTTGCCATTTTTTTGTAGAACTCAAAAACAAAAGAAAATTTCGAAAAATTTTATTCTTGATAAAACATTACATTTTTATAGCGCTTTATCATTCATCAATTAGTTTTTCCAAAAAATAAATAGTTTAAGCGAAAAACGTTTGGTTCCATACTTTTTATTCACCTGGTATGTGTAATTTCTGAAAAATTAAAAATGGCAGCGTTAAGACGTAGGTACGGTTACAGAAGTGAGAAAAAATCATTTGAGCTTTTTACGATATTGGTGAATTAAAGGTTTATGTCCAAAAAAAATTGTCTTTTATTTTGAAAATAAATTTTTAAATAATAATTAAATATTGTTTATTAAAATATAAAGACAGATTTAAGAATCGTTACGTTTTAATAATTTATTTTTAGTTATTTTTAAAAGATTTTTATAAACCTATTAAAATAATAATTCTCTAAAGTTATTAATTAAGTAATACAATCAACAGATTACGAATCGAAGCATTAAATTCGTAATTCATTAAAATTTACTTTTAAAAAGTATCGTTTTTGTAAAAATGCTCTTTCCATTAGTTTTTACAGCGCTTCATTGTAATCTGTAAATAATAATTGTCTGTACTACAAGGGAGGAAAGTGTATCTTTTAGGTGGAAGTTTCCTCCAATGTAATACATATCATTTTTCCTATGATCTAGGAAGAAAAACTTCAAAATTAACAATTTCTCCTGACATCCCAGTTTCGCTATTAAATCTAGCAGCATGTTTTTCCGTTTCTATGTGAGAGGTAAAATTTTTATTTCCCTTTCTTTTTTGAAATTACTATGGTTAAACTTACCTTTCTGTTAGGGTGGTAGAAATATGTTATTACAGATCCTTAGGGCTTTTTTTAGAGAATTTTTTAAGAAATAGAATAAGTATTTGTTTCAGATTTCTTAAACATCCATGTCATTTTTTTTTGATAAAAATTGTAAAAATACAAAACAAGTTGATTATTTATTATTTGTTTACAACCATCTGACTCTCTAGCTCTAGCATTTTGTAAATAAATGTTGGTACTATTATTTTTTTATTAAAAATGGACATAGACAATGTCAATTAATCTTGCAAATCGCAAAAATTAATATTAATAATAATGGTGAACACTGATGTAGTTTGTTAATAGCTAGCCTTTTTCATTTTATTCTGATGTTTACTCTCTTTGGCACCTATTTTTATTCTGGCCGACCCTGTATGTAACAATTTTGTTGTATAATAAAAAGATAAGTAAAGTACATTAAACAGTTAAACACTTGCTATCTGATAATATTTACTGTCAAATGTTTGCTTTTACTAAAATTTAACACGTTATAAATTTACGCTCTTCAATTTTTTCGCATCAAAATTCAACTAAATTGAACTTGTAAATAAATGTATCTCGCGTAATAATTTCCTTGACCTTGTTGGTGATCCGTCAAGGCCGCGAGTTTATTCACTAGGAGAGAACGACCGCTGGTTTGAAGACAATAGAAGCGGCGTTTGTGTAACAAAATCATGGCTCGCCGAAAAGATGTGTGCCACAAGTTTTTGTGGAAGAAATTCCGCGGATAGACCCAAGTCTGGGCATGTTTTATTCTTTTTGAACGTCTGGGTGCCTTCGGAAGCGATAATAAAAAGGATGCAGACGGATCAGGTTGCTCTCGCGGTCGAGTTTCTTCATGTGTGGGACTGAGCGGCTTTATTAGGCGATTCGGATGTGGGGTGAAGGAAAAGTGGAACGGATACGGGGATGGGCCCGTGGATGGGACACACTCTCGAAAAGTTATCACGAGTGGATTAGAAGCATAGTTATTTTTACGATTAAACTTTATTTACATTTTATTGATTTTGGGTCAAGTGACTAAATGACTTAGTCCTCCCAAGCAACAAGACCACCAAGAGCTACTTACACCAACATTTTCAAAAATTTCATAAATTCTTCTCTTTTTCAGGTAGTCAGGGAAG